ACGATACTAATGGTACCAGTAGCATTCTGATTAAACGTCTGTCTTGCCTTTCCTCTGAGCCTCAAACATCAGCCAAAATCCCTTGTCACTCCCCGCTGCAACAATCTCACCAGACTGCGGTGATCCATCTGCTCTTACGAACTGTACACCCTCTCCCACAACCATGTCTGCCTTATCATGCATCAGTATTCCACCAAGTTGTGCACAGCCAGTTAGTCTGTCCACGTGTTCATTTCCCAACACACCCGCGTCTCCCGGTGAAAAAATCCATGACTAGTGCAGTCGCTAAGAATTGTGATGGTAAATATTTTTATGTTTGCTTATATAAAAGAAATAATATCCATCATCTTACCAAAGATGCAATCGAACAACAGTCCTCTGAATGAAAGTCCAGTGTTTAAATTGCCCAACCAATAACAACTCAGGCACAGGATAACATAAATATATTACTGGCAGAAACCAACAGAACATTGTTTTCCATTCTGATACCAACGTGTCTTTCTGTACCAACACCACTAATGCTGCTCCTTTATCACAAAAACTAAAGATTTATTATCCCAATCAGTATGATCCTGCTGGTCGTTTATTCTTTATCTCTAAAGAAAGAGTTAATTAGTTGCGTAACCTTTACAGGATTTTGCAGAACCAACCCCAACTGGCTGTTGTGTGGTTTTTCTAGGCAAATTTACGTCCAGTAGTTTTTTCTAAAGAAAACCCAATAAAAATATGTATTAACAAAATTAATGCAACAGTATCATACATAATTTAAATCTTAAAATATAAACATGCAAAGCGTCAACAAACAACGCAAAACACTTCTGATTTAACAAGGTCTGCCTTTCTTCCTGCACTGCATTTACCACTGCGTGCAGAGAAAAACAAAATAGTGATTTTGATTATAATAATAACTGTTTTCGAACTAAAGCCACTGCTGCATTTTACAGGACTCAAACTCAATTCAGCCAAGGCTGTAATCAGGCTTGCAGGCACTCTACCAACTTGCCATAATGTTATTTACAGATGAGACAAGGTTGTCATTTTTCATTTTCTCCATAGAATGAAAAAGAAATATAAAATTTCAACATTTATAAATATGTCTCTTAGGCAGGAGCATCAGACAATATATATTCATTTCTTTTTAAAACTGAAAACAATTTATTATGATGGTAACATGTCAACTGAAATCACAAAAGAATACTCAAAGAATGCAATATTCAAGGAATGACTTAAGTATATAAAGTATATACATACCTGAGTGTTAACTAGCCCAAGATACATGTGAAAATAAACCATACATGAAGTATAGACATAAATGTGTCTTTCTTTTACACTCCAGCTCCCACTAAAGCATAGGCCCTCAACCAACTCACGCCACACCACGTGTAGACCTCTTTGTGAGTGATTAGATTTGGTGGCTGAAGTTTTCTCAAGAATGATGGGCATGCCAGTCTTAGGCCAAACCTCCTTAGTTGCCACTTAAAGGTGTGCTGCACAAGTTGGTGGTTAGATTTTGTGGCTGAAGTTTTCTCAAGAATGATGTGTATGCTAGTCTTAGGCCAAACCTCCTTAGTTGCCACTTAAAGGTGTGCTGCACAAGTTGTATAAGGGGTAAGATTTTGTGGCTCGGGTTGTCTAACTTGATTTGGCCATCTTAGGCCAAACCTCTTAGTTGCCACTTAAAGGTGTGCTGCACAGGGGTAAGATTTTGTGGCTCGAGTTGTCTAAAGAATGATGGATATGCCATCTTAGGCCAAACCTCCTTAGTTGCCACTTAAAGGTGTGCTGCACAAGTGGTTAGATTTTGTGGCTGAAGTTTTCTCAAGAATGATGGGTATGCCAGTCTTAGGCCAAACCTCCTTAGTTGCCACTTAAAGGTGTGCTGCACAAGTTGTATAAGGGGTAAGATTTTGTGGCTTGAGTTGTCTAAAGAATGATGGATATGCCATCTTAGGCCAAACCTCCTTAGTTGCCACTTAAAGGTGTGCTGCACAAGTTGTATAAGGGGTTAGATTTTGTGGCTGAAGTTTTCTCAAGAATGATTTGTATGCCAGTCTTAGGCCAAACCTCCTTAGTTGCCACTTAAAGGTGTGCTGCACAAGTTGTATAAAGGGTAAGATTTTGTGGCTCGAGTTGTCTAAAGAATGATGGATATGCCATCTTAGGCCAAACCTCCTTAGTTGCCACTTAAAGGTGTGCTGCACAAGTGGTTAGATTTTGGTGGCTGAAGTCTTCTCAAGAATGATGGGTATACTAGTCTCAGGCCAATACTCCTTAGTTGCCACTTAGCGGTGTGCTGCAACTGCACAAGGTAGAGGTGTGATTCCCTCATCAGTAGAATGAGATATCAAGTAAAACGGAAGGTAGGGAAAACCTATACCTGGAGAGAATGATGCAGCAGGGAGTGTGTGCAGTCTCTGGATGCCACTCGAGCTTCGGCAGAAAGGCAATAGTAGCAGTTAACAGGTGGCAACGGGTACCAAGAGCATGGAGACTATTTAATGGCTGCTGAGGAGGGAGACAGAGCTAATATGGGCTCGTCCTGTCTGCTGTGATGTTGAATATTTACCCAGATAAAATCCTTGACTGCCACTTATGGAAAGGCATGGTAAGTTAGTGTTGCTATTTGTAGCTTTCTTTATGGACACTGTAACACAGGAATGATGAGAAGTTTCACACACACACAAAAAAGGTAAATAATACTTTTTCCCTTCTGCCATCTCCCCACTGGAGGTTGGTTGCATTGGTTGTACTGCTACTGCAGTCCTTGGGAATATTACAGCATTATACCATGTATAAGATTATATGTTTCCCCCAAATATTTCAAGTTTAAAATTGGGGGTCATCATATAAACAATATGTGTTTAAAATATTTATTGTTCTAATTTTAGGCTGGGGGGGGTATATCTTAGATAAGGAAAACTACAGAATGTGATGAGGTCTTAATATCTACTACAGTGTGACACTGTCCACCTGCCATAAAAACGGTAAACCAGATAAAACCTCAACTTATGACTTCCTATTCTGTGTTCACCCTGAAAAAAGGTGGTCAGTATATTGTGTCATGATCTGTAGCTAAGGTGCGATATTTGCATCTTTTAACCCCAAACACTTTGTTTCAGCAAAATCCCTAGCTAGTCACCTTTTATGGCACGGTTATTATAGGCCAGTGGATCTCCCCCCGCCCATCCCCACCTCAACCACCTGCATGAAGCCCCAGGAACCCATTCAGGGAAACTTATGACAACTATGACCTTCTTATCCAGTAGCTGAGAGAAAGACCAAATACGACAAGCAAATATGCGGTCTGAAATTTTAGAGACTGAAATCAAACGGTAGGAAACTAGTCAGTAGATGGGAATTTTAGAAGGAAAACTGAAAGAGAGATACTGTAAATTGTGGCATTTAAGTTGAGTTTTTAAGCCTAAAAAGCACTTTTTCAAAACCAGCAGTCAGTCACCTTATATGGTGGGTATAAAATCCAAACCTTTAACACCCAGTAGTAAACAAGTAGGATAGCACTCTTAACAATCATTGTACACTATTTACCAGACCTCCAGCAGCTTACCACAAATTCAAGGACCCTTTCCAAACCACAAGGCGTAACTGGGCATATAGTGCTAGATGTATATTTTATAGTCCAATTGGTATTTGGTGGGTCATGTGGTCAATGTCATGCCAGCTGCCTTTACTTCCCAGGACTTTAGCTGATGCCCATTTTAGGCTGGGTCAACTTGGAAGCCAAAATCCTTTTCGAAAAAATCTGGCTCATCTGAACCTACAAACTTAAGGTGCGATATGAGCAACTAGCTGCTGCAATCCATTGTAACTTTTGTTTGGTATATTATTTGGCAAAGTTAACATAAAAAATTAAACTAATAATAAGTAACCCCAATTAAGTATTCTATTAGTGACACACATGTCACTAAGTGTAAACATTGCCTGTTCATCTGTACCCATACATCAGTGAAGGAAACAAGTCTGCAAATGGATCTGAAGTTTTGTGCCACTGACAACCAACCATATGTGAGTTAGATTCAACCCCACCAGGACATCCACCAAGCGATAAATACCTGGTGACTCAAAGTGCCACCCTGCGGATGAGGATCACCCGGGAAGAGGTCCCAGAAACCCCATTCAACTGTTGGATTATATTAGAGCCCCTGGCAACAGGTGGGATGGAGCTTTAAAACAACAAAAAACTGCATCCCATATCGGGATGACAGATTTATGTTGAACCATATATTTTTAAGGCCAAGCTTTATAGGGTAGGAATAGGCCTAAGTGAGAATTCTGAGCTAAAAATCTTGAGGTTAGTGAGAACACAGCCAAACCAAACTGCATATGAGATTTCTTTTACAGCACATCTGCAACATAGGAGAGGGAAAGACCAAGAAAGAGATAAATAAATGGTGTAGCTGGAATCTGCACACACACAAAAAAGATGAACAAATTTATCACTCAAGCCACCCGAGAAGCACAAGACAAACAGAGAAAACCAGGACACTGGGCTACAATGTGGTATCAGTGAGATGACAAAAGAAGAAAAATAAGAATCTTTAGGTTGACTTGTACGGCAGGTCAATCTGTATGTCACAATTTACGGTACGTGCAAAGAAAGAAAATACCTCATAAAAGAAGTTGAGAGAGCTATAAGTGCTATTGTATACTCCAAAAGGAACATACAAGAAGAAGACATTATCTGGGTTCTTTATTAACATCCTACCCTAGATGACGTCAAAGGACAGTCCAAAATTTAAGAAGGTGGTAAGACTGGGTTTCCCGGCTTTCTGATGCTTTTAAAGACCCCAAAACATCTAGAACTGGCCCTAACTCCAACCCACCTATGTCCCACGAGAGAATGCAGTCTAGGTCCCAAGACTGCATGCAGCCTAGATCCCACGACTGCATGCAGCCTATCTACCACCCCCTGAAATGTCTGTCCCATGACGTGGATTTCCCTTGTTTGGAGGTAGGATATTAATAAAGCACCACTATCTGTACTAAAAATGTGAACAGGCTTGTGCTGCTGACAGCTTGACATTCACTCGATGCCAAGCATTGCTCAGGCAGCCTCGCAGGTTCCATATGCCCTCAACAGAGTCAGGCTGTACATTGTAGGAGATATCCACAGCTTTACAAACCAAAGTGGTTTCTTTGACATTCTGGGGTAGTGGGACATCAGCTTCCCATAAAGTCCAGGCATAAGACTTGTATGGAGTCTGTCCATTTGGCTTTAGTTTGGCCTCATGCCACGTCTTTCCTCCATCGGCTGAGACATCAACTCTAATTATTCCTCTTCCGCCGCCTGACCAGGCATAACCTTTCAAGGTCACCTATCGGGAAAAAAACAAAAATAAATACATGTTACTCATTTATATGAGGTATAATCTGATGAGATCTTTTTTTCTGACCTACAGCTTGTTCAGCAAAGTGTTAGTGAAAGGAGGTAGATGACATTTTATAGACTCTGCAGGACTGGTGGCGACTATTGGTGTTGGCACCTCTTACAGCTGCCCTGTGCATTTACTGTGTGTGCATACTTCTGGATTTTGCCAAAACTAACTGTGTGTTCACTAATTCTCAAATGGTACAGTAAAGGGATTTTGTGTCATTTTCAGTGGCAATGAAATGGAGCTCTTTATTCTTTGCATTCACCAGATATAAACTCCAGCAGAAAATTCTGGTTGTTATCCCTCTCCGGACCTTAGACTTGTTCCAGAACCCAAGTGTTGTGTGCACATCCATTTTACAAATCTCTCTTATTTTTATGCAGGCTGTTGGTTGCCTGCCTCTTAGGCAGATGCACTCTGACTTCAAATACTAAATTATAGCAAGGCTCACAATCTGTTACACTAAATTATAGCAAGGCTCAGTCTGTTACACTAAATTATAGCAAGGCTCACAGTCTGTTTCACTAAATTACAGCAAGGCTCACAGTCTGGTATACTAAATTATAGCAAGGCTCACAATCTGTTACACTAGATTATAGCAAGGCTCACAGTTTGTTACATTAAATTATAGCAAGGCTCACTGTGTTACATTAAATTATAGTAAGGCTCACAATCTGTTACACTAAATTATAGCAAGGCTCACAGTCTAGTATACTAAATTATAGCAAGGCTCACAGTCTAGTATACTAAATTATAGCAAGGCTCACAGTCTAGTATACTAAATTATAGCAAGGCTCACAGTTTGTTTCACTAAATTATAGTAAGGCTCACTGTGTTACATTAAATTATAGTAAGGCTCACAATCTGTTTCACTAAATTACAGCAAGGCTCACAATCTGTTACACTAAATTATAGCAAGGCTCAGTCTGTTACACTAAATTATAGCAAGGCTCACAATCTGTTACACTAAATTATAGCAATGCTCACAGTCTGTTTCACTAAATTACAGCAAGGCTCACAGTCTGGTATACTAAATTATAGCAAGGCTCACAATCTGTTACACTAGATTATAGCAAGGCTCACAGTTTGTTACATTAAATTATAGCAAGGCTCACTGTGTTACATTAAATTATAGTAAGGCTCACAATCTGTTACACTAAATTATAGCAAGGCTCACAGTCTAGTATACTAAATTATAGCAAGGCTCACAGTTTGTTTCACTAAATTATAATAAGGCTCACTGTGTTACATTAAATTATAGTAAGGCTCACAATCTGTTACACTGAATTATAGCAAGGCTCACAGTCTGTTACACTGAATTATAGCAAGGCTCACAGTCTGGTACTCTAAATTATAGCAAGGCATACAGTTTGTTACACTAAATTATAGCAAGGCTCACAGTTAAACTAAATTATAGTAAGGCTCAAAGTCTGTTAAACTAAATTATAGCAAGGCTCACAATTTGTTACACTAGATTATAGCAATGCTCACAGTCTGTTACACTAAATTATAGCAAGGCTCACAATTTGTTACACTAAATTATAGCAAGGCTCACAGTCTGTTTCACTAAATTATAGTAAAGCTCACAGTTTGTTACACTAAATTATAGAAAGGCTCATAGTAGGTTAAACTAAATTAAAGCAAGGCTCACAATCTGTTACACTAAATTATAGCAAGACTCACAGTCTCTTTCACTAAATTACAGTAAGACATTCAATCTGTTACACCAAAGTATAGTTAGGCTCACAGTGTTACATTAAATTATAGTAAGACTTACTGTGTAACATTAAATTATAGTAAGGTTTACTGATTTACATTAAATTATAGTAAGGCTTACAGTCTGTTACACTAATTTATACAAACCTTGGATCAGACAGTGTTAAAGTAACAAGTGACAGGGATCTCAAGGGGTAATATGGAGATGACACATGATAATCTTCTCCTTCTCGTTCACCAGCTGTAAACTCTGGCGGAAGGTTCTGGTTATTCGTCCCCTTCTGGACTGCAGTCTTGTTCCAGAACCTGAGTGTTGCGTGTGCATCCGTTTTACAGATCTGATTCATTTGTATGCAGACTGCTGATTCCTTGCCTCTCAGGCAGATGCACTCTGACTTTGAAGGAAGCTACCAATTAGTCGACTCTTACGACATGCTTTTGGGTCGGCAGTGTGTCTATTCTTGTTTTTCCCATAATAGGGCCCCAGAATCCACACGGGGAACACATGATAATGATCTTCTTCTTAGCCTTTACCGGCTGGAAACTCTGCCAGAAAGTTCTGGTTGTTCATCCACTCCTGGACTTTGGTCTCGATCCAGAACTTAAGTTCTGCATGCAGATTCGTTGTACAGATCTGGTTTATTTGCATGTAGACTGGTGGTTTCTTGCTTCTCAGGCAGATGCACTTTTTGAAGGAAACAATCAGTAGTCAGTCATCTCTTACGATATACTTGTTAGGAGGGGGTAGCAGGCCTACTGACTGTTCTCGAAAATGGAGGCCCAGAACCACAGGGAAAGATGAGGATGATGTTCAGTATATAAGAAATCTGACAGTTAAAACAGGACCAGTATCATTACCTCAGTAGCACCTTGCTCTATTTCTGCACCTTCGACTGGATCACATATTGCTGATGTAACTGGAAGCTGAGAAATGGATACCGATTTGTCAAAATTGACGTTGTGCCAGTCAACAGATGAATTGAACCCTTTGTAGTCGCTGCGCTGCCAGTGTGATGTGCTCTCCTCTGTGCTGAAGTAGATCTTCTTTAACCATTTCACCTGAAACATGTACACCATAAATGAGAACTGGGATGTGTGGGAAGGGGAGGAATGAAAAGGGGCCATTCTGTGAACAGGCTCTCATATATCTCGGCAGTGGTAATCTGTCCTCCATTCACTGCAGGACTGACTAGCAGACTGTTGGTACAAACCTTCCATAGGTAACTGATCCAGTCAACTGCTCCAGTTGCTGTCGGCAACATAAGCAACTATAACTGGCAAAACGAAATTCAATTTTGAGACTCACGTTACACAAAAAAGAGTGACACATCTGCAAGGCAACGTGAACCTTGCAGCCACACGTCTTCCCTGAGTAAGAAATCCTGCCAATAGTTGGAATGCAGCATTCCCAACGGTCCTGAGGCTCAGACAGCGACAACACTACAAGATGATTCTTGCAGCAGTATCAAGCAGAATGCAAGATACCATGCTGCTGCCGAATAGCAAAGCTACTCTGCCTGTTGTCATGCACCAATGTTGCCAGGTCTCGGAAATTCATGGCAAAGTAAGAACCACTTCAAAACAGTGATAAAGATAAATGAAATAAGCACTGAAAATGATGAAGAAACACACACAAAAAACCCACTGAGAATGATGATGTATTAAACGCTGAAAACAAAATACACATAACAACCCTAGAATACTGGACTTTCCCAGGGATTCTGGGATGTCCTTTGTTTGAGGTAAGTTAAAAGAAAAAAACTAAAATGGGACCAAAAGAGTTAAGGAAGCTCATAGGTTCATTTCAATGGCTGCATCATTCACCTTAACAAGTACAATTATTATAGAGATCAATGGGGATCGTCGCTGGAGCTGTAGAGTTCATGCTTTATGCAATGCTCTCTGCAAGGTGGATAGCTACTTTTTTTTTGCCGTTATTGGCTATTCTTTTTGCACCCCAGAATATGGGGACCCCATAATTAACACAGGGGAGGCATAATTAACACAGGGAAGGCATAATTAACACAGGGAAGGCAGACAGCAAAATAACAATAAACTCCAGAATCATATAAATATAAACTGTTTGATAATTAACTGGACCTGTAGTATTGTGAGTATTCTTAATGAATTGTTTTCCTATGACATGTAAATTAAGAAGAATTTGGAAGAAACTCTGTGGCTAAGTCAATGTGAACGCTTCGTAATGCCGGGTTCGATCCCAGCTGCGGGCCATGCATCTTGGTTACAACAGTGGTATCAAGAAAGCCGACCGTCCAGAAAGCAATGGCAAACTACTGGACGCAAATTTGCCTATAAACCATGGGCTGTTGGGGTTGGTTCTGCAACATCCTGTAAAGGATATGCAACTACCTTTGGAAGCAACAGAAATGTGGTTTCTGAGACGAATGTTATGAATACCTGGGACGGTCAGAGTAACTAACAACGATTGCTTGAAAGAGGCTAATGAAAGTAGATCTCTATATACAACAATTAGAAAGAGACAAACACTGTTCTTTGGCCACATAATGAGAAGAGAGACACTGGAGAACATCGTGACAACTGGAAAAATCAGTGGAAAGAGGGGTAGAGGCAGGTCAAGAGAGATGAAGCTGGATGGACTGAAACGATGACATGGTGGGATATCATCAAGAGAGTTGTTTCTGGCAACCAGGGATCGTGATCTGTGGAAACACATGAGCGCCTACGCCAGTTGACAGGGCACATGATGATGATGACATGTGGCTGCTGGACCCCATTGGCTGGGGAGGGAGGGGGGATGACGAAAGAACAGACATACTGCCCCAACACACGTCTGTGTTCATGTGTAACAAAAAAAGAAAAGCACAAACATAATTTCCAAAACAACATACATACCTGTCTAGCACCAACGACTCCAGGGATGATAACCCGGACAGGATATCCATGATCTCTAGGGATTTCAGTTCCGTTCATCTCATAGGCAATAACGATGTCATTCTTCAGCATTCTTGCCAACTCGAGCGGGATGGAGGCACCATAAGGAGTACCATCCTCCTGCTTATCTAATCCTTCAAAGACGATATATTTCCCTCGAACAGTTTCTATATCCACACCATGAAACTTCAGCAGCTCCTCCAGAGTCACCCCTGACCATTTAGCATTGCCAATGGCAGCAATGCCCCAGTTCAGACCCTTCACAGGTTTCACTTTAACCATCTCACTACGCCGGTTTCCTGCACACTGGGTGACTGCCGTTACCGAGGTTTTCTTGAACTTTGTTTGCAGGTCTTCAAAGGTGAGCGAAATGCTACATGATGGTAACTGCAGGTCCAAACTGTAATCTTTTAAGTTGATGCAGGGGACTGGAAGATGGTTGCGAACAAAGAACAGATGAGAAGGAGTTATAAAATTATCAGCCAGCATTTCCTGTGGAGGTTCTGCATTATACGGCTTCTCTGAACTTGGAATCAGAAGTGGTGACCTTTGAGGTTCATTTTTATATGGGTCGTTCTCATCCACTTTTCCTTTGTGTACCGCTACATCTGTTATGTTTCCTATACGATATGATTCAAGAGTCTCATAGATATCTTCACTCTTATGAACAGAATAAACTGACCAAAAGGGCTCGATTGACTTCCCTGCTGCCATAAGAATCTTCTTACCTCCCGGATGCATATCCAGATAGTCTGTTATATCATAAACACCATTTCCATACGTGACCCAAATCCCAGATTCCCTGGTGCTGTGAGCAGCCACGTCAGCCTGTGTATATGTCGGCAGACCATGCTTTATTTTACCTGGTTCAATTTTCTCTTCTGCAAAAACTCTCCCAAAGTTGTTCTTAATAGCCAAAGGCATCAACAATCCAGAACTTCCACTACCATTCCGCTTGTTAAATATCCAGTACAGCCCACCACCTGGAAAATATCAGTACACTAAATGTGTTATACAGTTAAAAGTAAACTTCAACAACTGCTCTCTAGGCTTAACAAAAAAACAATAATAACAGAAAAGAATTAGTCCTCTCTCTATGCAATGAGTCCACACCTTGTGAGAATGCTGCAGCTGCTTGGTGAAATCACTGAAAGAGATGTTATCAGTTTGGTGAAATCACTGAAAGAAATGTTTTCAGTTTGGTGAAATCACTGAAAGAAATGTTTTCAGTTTGGTGAAATCACTGAAAGAAATGTTCTCAGTTTGGTGAAATTACTGAAAGAAATGTTCTCAGTTTGGTGAAATCATTGAAAGAAATGTTCTTAGTTTGGTGAAATCACTGAAAGAAATGTTATCAGTTTGGTGAAATCATTGAAAGAAATGTTCTTAGTTTGGTGAAATCACTGAAAGAAATGTTCTCAGTTTGGTGAAATCACTGAAAGAGATGTTCTCAGTTTGGTGAAATCACTGAAAGAAATGTTCTTAGTTTGGTGAAATCACTGAAAGAAATGTTCTCAGTTTGGTGAAATCACTGAAAGACATGTTCTCAGTTTGGGGAAATCATTGAAAGAAATGTTCTCAGTTTGGTGAAATCACTGAAAGAAATGTTCTTAGTTTGGTGAAATCATTAAAAGAAATGTTCTCAGTTTGGTGAAATCACTGAAAGAAATGTTCTCAGTTTGGTGAAATCACTGAAAGAAATGTTCTCAGTTTGGTGAAATCACTGAAAGAAATGTTCTCAGTTTGGTGAAATCACTGAAAGAAATGTTCTTAGTTTGGTGAAATCATTGAAAGACATGTTCTCAGTTTGGTGAAATCACTGAAAGACATGTTCTCAGTTTGGTGAAATCATTGAAAGACATGTTCTCAGTTTGGTGAAATCACTGAAAGACATGTTCTCAGTTTGGTGAAATCACTTATAGAAATGTTCTCAGTTTGGTGAAATCACTGAAAGAAATGTTCTTAGTTTGGTGAAATCACTGAAAGAAATGTTCTCAGTTTGGTGAAATCACTGAAAGAAATGTTCTCAGTTTGGTGAAATCACTGAAAGAAATTTTCTCAAACTGAGAAATGAAAGTATGATTTTTTTTTTATGCACCTTAACAGGGTGATCAAAAAATTGTGTTGTGATCTACAGCTCAGATATGATGTCTGCACCATAAACCAAACACACCTTATTTCAGCAAACCCCTAAATAGTTACCTTTTACATTTGTTAGGGCGACAGTGGGTCTATTAATTTCCCCCACAATAGGGCCCTGGTGCCCATAAGGAGTTCCTCTTCATGTTCACGGGCTGTAAACTCCAGCAGAAAGTTCTGGCTGTCTGTCTACCTCTTGACTTTAGTCTTGTTCCACAACCTGAGTGTTGCATGTACATGAGTTTAACGGATCTGACTTAACTATGCAGACTGTTGGTTCCTTTCCTCTCAGGCAGATGCACTCTGACTTTGAAGGAAGCTCCCATTAGTCAACTCTTAGGACATGCTTGTTGGGGAAGGCAGTGGGTCTATTCTTGTTTCCTCCACAATGGGGCCCTGGAACCCACAAAAGGGAATACAAGCAGTTCAAGTTGTGATCTTTTCTGTGTGACTGCCAACTTGGCGGCCCTCTATGGAACAACGAAAACAATTTCAGCTGTCTGTTATTTAACTCTTTGAGTCCCAAGGAACGCATCACGCGCTCATTTTTTACTACTTGGCGGCCCAAACAGCGCATGAGGTGTGACGGTTTTTAATTTACCACTTATCGGTAATTACACGCAAACCGCTCAATTTAAACTTCCTTTCCAGTTCTCAAGTGTGTAGTCTACACACGTGGAGTGCATTCGTTTGGGTCTGGTGAGTTTTTAAGGCTTTAAATCAATATTTGTGTGGTCTACTACGTTACCAAACAATTATCTGAAAACAATATGTCCAATCAGTCATCGTCTTCACGCCCATCAAAGCGATTTACTGCTTTGGAATCATAAAATTTGATAAAACAGTGGATCGATTAAAGTAATGTGGAGTTGGATAATGATAGTAGCGACGTGAAATTCCCCAAATCGTTGACGAGTCAAGTTTTGATGAGGATGTGTGCGTAATTATTCTCCTGCTTTAGGACAAAACTGACTAATTCTGCCTTGGCAACACAAGAGAAGCACCTCGTAACGCGACACCAGCTAGTCCAAATGTCAGCGCTTCAAGTACTACTATCCATATAATCAAAAACCATAGATATATATCTATGAACAGATTGACATGTTTACAGTGCCTTTACAATTTTTTTTTCTATGTGAGAAATTCAATTGTTTTTTAGAAAAGTCACTGTTTGTGCCACTGGAGAATATATTTTGACGTGTTATGGTTGTGTTATTAAAATTGCTATGGAACAACAACTACTGCACATTTTGCTTTAATATTGGCTGTGCATACTTATAAGTGGTGTACCTTCCTTTGTGATGCATTCTGGATATACTATATCAAGAATTTTAGGATCAGCTTCTGGGTAAGTGGAAAAAACTTGTTCATAATTTACTCACACCTCAAACTAAGTCACTGTTTTCTCTACTAAATACTAACAGTAAAATTGTTTATTGTAGCAGTATGCTAATATTAATCCTTATCCATTTATGTTTAATTTTATGTATGATATGTGTATGTTGGACATCAGCTGCAGCTGTGTGGTTTGTTTTAAAGTGCTGCATTTGTTAAAAGTCAAAATCATATTACCCCCCCCCCCCCTTGGGCCTCTGGTGCAAAACCCCTGGGACTCAAAGAGTTAATACTACAGCTCTCTCTCTCTCTCTCTCTTACAAATATGATTATCTATGAAGCAGTTGTGAAAGCGGAGTGGCTACTATGTATGCCGGCTGCTCCAGTGACCGTAGATTCTATCTCGGCTCTCCTTGCAATAACGGTCGCTAGTTGGACGGCGACGGCCGCTTTCTCGGAGTTCAGTCCCCTGGCTGCAGTGCAATTATGGAGTGGACAAGGCACGAATCACAAAACAAAGTGCGTTTACATGGCGTCTAGACCACGCGCTGCGACTCACATTAGCGACCACGTTCTTGTAACCAAAACCCTAACCCTAATTATGTCATTTGTTTCGTTCCCTCTTTTCCACTCCGTAATTACACTGCAGCCAGGGGACTGACGAAGCGGCCGTCGCCGTCCAACTAGCGACCGTGTTATTGCAAGGAGAGCCAGAACCTCTATTTCTAATAATACAAATATAAAGTTGAAAAGACAATCTTATTGAAAGACAGCTGTTTTTTTTTACCGATTGCTCCTGCCACAGCAAGCGTAATGGCTGTAGAACCAAACCGCCCTCCGTCGCTTCTTGTTTGACTTCTGAAATAACTGTTGCTTGCATAGCCACGTTTGGCTCCATAGTCCACCGGCTGTACATTGTTCTTATCTAAGCCGTTGCAGCTAGACCATAATAATGCAAGCTGCGTTGGATAAACCGACACAGACCTGCAAGTTATTGGTAACAATACACATCGTTTCACACAATCCTGACTGAATCCACCTATCAGTTTAGGTTTGGTTAACGGTTTTAGAAATGCCATATCAATCTCTATTAACTATAAGACGATATAAATCACAAACATTCCATGTATTTGTGTAAAGTTTGAGAGTTTCAAAAGTGGCTTGTTTACTCCCAACTACTTCCGTTGTGTGTCCAGCAGACGTGGCCTTGACATTTCATGACCTGGCAGGCTCTTATCAAAACATACTTTTAATATAGGAGATCGACTTCAAGGCAGTGGATTTTATCCTATGTGGCTCAGCAGAACGGCTAGACACCTGCTGAGAGCGTCGCAAAAAGCATGACCTCTGTAGCTCTAGCGAGGATCCCAATGGATGTCAGCAAACTGCATTCTTAATGTGAATGACGGGTCCGTGAAATAAACCCATGATCTTAAAAGCGTGAAGCAAACGGTTTGACCACTACGTCATGGAGACAATCACTCTCAATGAAAACCACACTGGAGAGTAAAGTAGAACCATCATTCTTCTCGAACATGACTAGGGTTGCCAACTCAAAATTTAGAAAATCAGCCAAACATTGGCAAACAAGATAAGAACAGCTCCAAATCAATGTCAACACTGTCGTATCCACCGAAACCAATACTATACATTTTTTTTTCAGATGAAAAGTTAGGGATACAGTAAAGTTCTTGCGAAATTTGTTAGAAAGAAGCAGTTTTTTTTTTCCTCCTCACTAGTGCCTCAAGAAGTTCCAGCTGGGTTCTATTTCTAGATTTCGTTTTTGTTTGATGAAACAAGGGAGAACACTTCTCGATATTAGTATTACTTGTTGCAGTTGCCGGCTCTGTTTGAAATCGGAATTATGAAGCAAGATTTTAACAGAAATTAAATGGAGGATGGCTATAGCAATGCAGAGATTGAACAGCCTTAAAAGGTCTATTGTTAAGCACTAGCAAGGAGATAAAAATTAGAATTTTGAGAGCATGCATCTTCCCTGTGGCTACAAACGGATGTGAGTCGTGGTCTATCTCTCAGGCCTTAAGAAAGAGAATAGGGGCCTTTGAGCTGAAATGCTATAGAAAGATTCTCAGAATATCTTGGACAAAGAAGAGGAGAAATTCTGACATCTTGAAAGATCTGAACATCAACGAAGATTGGCTAATAAACAGCGTCCTTTCTCGGAAGCTGAAATATTTTGGTCATATCAAGCGCCACAACGGATTGGAAAAAAACAAACTATAGCAGAAGGCATGGTACCAGGAAGGAGGGGCACGAAGATGGGCACAGGATATAAGTGTTCAGTATAACAGTACACGATGCAGGAGAACTGGCGAGAGATCGAGTTTCTTTTAGGCAGACTGTGATGAGATCGTCGTTCTGCAAAGGACCTGCTACATGATGATGATGATCGTATTACTGTTTCATTTGTGTAAGTGTGTGTGTGTATGTGTGTGTGGTGGTGGTGAGGGGGGGGGGGGGGTCACCATAGTTAAAGTTTCTCGATTTGGGACTGAGCCTCGAGAGGCAGGGGGTAAGAAGTGTTGGTGTTGTGGGTAGTGGGTTCCTCCCCCCCCCCCACCCCCTTACTTCACCCTAGGTCTAGTGAATATCTGTTCACGAAAGGAGCGTCCATTGTGGTGTCAGCCTCTTGACCTAGCAAGACCTCTCTTACCTCAAGACCATTGTGCGTGGCGAAGAGTCACAGCCTCCCCGAGGTAGTCCTGGTAACTGGGGGTGCAAATCCCCAGGCAAAACACAATGGATCTAGAGGAGCAAACCTCGATAATAAACCCGGTGCACCACACCGTACTGCCCCCTGTGGGATTGAAGGAGCCAGAGGTGTGCTGAACAGCCTTAGGAATGGAAATAAGTATGCTAACCCCCCTGAATACCGGAAACTATCGTGAAGGCACAGGGGCTCAGGACGTGACGATCCAGTTGCCCCAACTACTCATGCTAAGGCAATGCTTAGAGCCATGAAGAGCTCAGTGAAACCTGCAGGCAATCTGGTAGCGGGGAATGAGCACACTGTGAGCACCACAATGCCATGAATATGTCAAAATTTAAAAATACATACGAGATTGGTCGTCGCCTCGTCTATCAAAGCCCGCGCAAGACAGTGGGAAACCAGGATGTCATGTGCAAAAAATTGGCTACTGGAAAATTTGAAATAAATAGGAAAATCAGACACCCCAGGAGGAGAAAGAGTGGGAGGGAGAGCAAAGAGAACTCAGATAGCACAGCAAAAAATACACAGACGCTCAATATTCTGCAGCTGAACATCTGTGGAATAAGAAATAAGAAACTTGAACTTACCAAACTGCTAAACAACCACAGGGTACACGTGGCTGCCCTACAAGAAACCCTGCATAAAGACTCTGATCTGCATCTCACTGGATTTACTAGTTATGCCTGTAAATGCAATGACTGTCGGGGCATAGTGACTTATATCAGAAATGACATACAAGGAGATGTAACAATGCTGTCGACATCTCACTCTACAGATGTGCAAAAAATAACTATCTGGCACAATGGAAGCAAATATACGATATACAACGTGTACAGCCCACCTCAGACAACATGCAACATACCAGAACTATACAAGACACAGTACCATAAAACCCTTCTTGTTGGTGACTTCAACGGACACTCGCCATGTTGGGGTTACCCTGACTACAATAGCACAGGGAAATACATCGAAGATACTTGTGAAACAATTAACCTATTAGTGCTGCAGGACACAGAGTCTACACCTACACTGTTACACAGGGCCCACATATTTCTCAGCCGACCAGACCTGACCATCTGCTCATCCGACTTAGCAGACGCAAGCTTTCCCCAAGTCCTGGACGACATAGGAAGTGACCACAAACCTATACTCACAACTGTAAGCACCACCGCTAAATTACGCTTCAAGCAGAGAACCCGTTGGAATTTCCGAAAAGCAAACTGGAAACTATTTCAGGCAACATCTGACGGCTTCCTGGGAAGAATTGACAACAGCTGTGTGGAAACTTCTTGTGAAGACATAACACAAGCAATCCTGAATGCAGCGTCGAAAGCCATCCCTTTTTGGAATAAAGAAATTCAAAATACTATATCTGAAAGGAATAAAGCAAGAATATTTCTCGAAACTGCACGTTCAACTGAAGCAAAGATCCAATACAATAAAGCATGTGCCAGAGTAAAGCTTGTAGTTAATAAGGCTAAAAGAGATAAATGGACAGAAACTTGCTCCAACTTAGACCTTAGACAGAATGGAAATAAAGCATGGATTTTAGTTAAAAACCTTGATTTAAGTTCGAAAGCTCATGCGCCGCTGGATCGATAACAACAACAACAACAACAACAACAACTCGATTTGGCAGCTGGCCGAGCGGTTACCACATCAGGCTCTCATGCAGGAGGCACGCGTTCTTACCCTGGTGAGGTTATATTTTTCTTGTGTGTGTAGGGAGTGGGGGGGGGGGGGAAATTAAACATCCTTACATGCACAGTCCGTGGCGACAGCACTAGCCATGCAGCCCTAAATCCTCAGGCTCGTCCCCCCCCCCCCCCACGCCCTGTTTACACCGCCCTAAAAAGTAAAACAGACAGTATATATAGTGACAGTTAACCCTGATTCAGAGCGTAGACATATGTTTCAACGACACCCCCAGTTTACATTACTCTATTTGTTCTGTTTCTTCGAGCGGTGAAAGTAATCCCCTGCCGGTTTGCTGGGCCATTCGCATGTTAAGGACAGAAAGAAAAAAACTGACCTAGGTGAGTCCATCCACCTAGGGGAGCCAAAGTGCCGCTTGTCCATGACCTGGCGGCCATGGTTTCCCGGTCTACACTACTTGCAGGTGGGAATGGCCTGTGTGGTCTACAGGTCATCAGCCGGCTAGAGATTTTCACTTTTAGTCCCTCCAGAGAGAGACTAACCGATCCCAAACATACTGGCTGTACGGCCAAGCGCAGCCCACACCTTGTAAACACATGGGAATCTCAATTTACGAAGCGCACATACGGGCATATACCCGAAAATTATACGTCCCTTTCAAACCGAAAGTTTCCAGATGATCAAGATGAGATGAGATGATATTACATCTCTTCCTGTGTGAAATTGCTAAGAGCCTCTTAAAAAAATTAGGGTCGTTTTCATAAAATGTTATCTATTCTCTTGTGCATATTTACATGGCATATGTTTTCTTGAAAAGTGGATAATTCAAAGTGGATAATTCTCTCAGATAGATAGATAGATAGATAGATAGATAGATAGATAGATTAGATAGATAGATAGATTAGATAGATTAGATAGATAGACAGACAGACAGACAGACAGACAGACAGACAGACAGACAGACAGACAGACAGACAGACAGACAGACAGACAGACAGACAGACAGACAGACAGACAGACAGACAGATAGACAGACAGACAGATAGACAGATAGATAGATAGATAGATAGATAGATAGACAGACAGACAGACAGACAGACAGACAGACAGACAGACAGACAGACAGACAGACAGACAGACAGACAGACAGACAGACAGACAGACAGACAGACAGACAGACAGACAGACAGACAGACAGACAGACAGACAGACAGACAGACAGACAGACAGACAGACAGACAGACAGACAGATAGATAGATAGATAGATAGATAGATAGATAGATAGATAGATAGATAGATAGATAGATAGATAGATAGATAGATAGATAGATAGATAGATAGATAGATAGATAGATAGATAGATAGATAGATAGATAGATAGATAGATAGATAGATAGATAGATAGATAGATAGATAGATAGATAGATAGATAGATAGATAGATAGATAGATAGATAGATAGATAGATAGATAGATAGATAGATAGATAGATACTTCTTTCTTACTGTCAGCTATCAAATAGAGACAGTAAGGATGCTTGTTATACAAAATTAATCAGTCGAGCCCGAGAGTAAGACTGGTAACAACCAGAGTGTAAGGGAGCGATGAAGGGATAGATGGGAAAACAGCATGTGTGGATGGTGGTGTGGATAGGCGAGTGTGTCCTGGATAGATGAGTGTTAGATGAATGGA